ATATACTTTTCCTGCTCAAGTTGTTTTGGTCAAAATATTTACCAGAACGATAGAAACCTAAGTAAGGTAAACACTCTGGAGAGCACCGCAAAAAATTTGACAGACTGGACAATACTTGGAAAAGTCTCAGAATCTTCAATAGAACAGAAGAAAGCAACTTGGACAGTACCATGGAAAAGTCAGCACCCAGAACTGCACCATGGAGGCACTATTTCTTTAACATTGTAGATCTGCACTCTAGGCAATACAATAGGAAGAAACAATAAAACTGTGGCATGTTTCATGGTACTATGCCACTGAGTATGCTTTTATGCTTCCCATGTCCTCTTCCACAAAATTATGTAGTCGAATCTCTGTGAATCCAGCACTTCCTACCAACAATACATTTAAACCTCTTTAGGCCACCCTATACTCGTTAACTATTGAAGGATTGGATAGTCTACAAAGCAATGTGTTCAACAGCCTGTCTGCCTAACCTAAAAAGGAGGGTAAGCAAACCCCACATAATGTACACTTTAACCAGTCACTCTGGACCTAGTCAAGAGAAGATGTTTTTAAATTTATCTATTAGATGGTTTTAATTACATCTCTAGAGAAAGTTAGAAAATACTCTAAGTTCAAAATAGGTGACCCAGAGAAGAAATTTTTATTGTGATCTTCAGTGGCATACTAGGATTGTCACAAAATTTGCACTGTTTCTTAAAATACTTTTTCTAAACATTTTTTTTTTTTGGTTTTTTCGAGACAGGGTTTCTCTGTGTAGCCCTGGCTGTCCTGGAACTCACTCGGTAGACCAGGCTGGCCTCGAACTCAGAAATCCACCTGCCTCTGCCTCTCAAGTGCTGGGATTAAAGGCGTGCGCCACCACCACCAGTAAAATACTTTTTCTAAAACTAGGTGATATGACAATAACCTAAAGGCATTGTAGCGACAGTTCGGGCTAGAATTTTTCATCTAACAAAAGTGACATTGTCCCATCATCTCTCTCTATGCTGTATATATGAGGGACAAGTAAACATAAAATGAGGATGGCTCCAATGTCACTGTTATAGTGGCTGCCTGTCTGCAAAACTCCTAAGAAATAGTTCAGTGAAGGGCAAGGACAACCCAAATGAAGGACAGAAGGCCTGTCTGACTTGTCATGCTTGGAAATTATATTTCTTCTGGACCTGCTTCCACATCTATAGAGGGGAGCTTTCTCATTAAAGTTTTCCACAGCCTGCTTTTACTTAATTTATCTTTCTGTTTAAAGTATAGGATTAATTACTATGAAACGTTCTTTTTAAAGTGAATAGGATTAAAAAAACATAATCATTTACACTTTATGGAAGAACTTTTTAAATTAAAATTATTATTCTCTTATATGTGATATCTAAAGTACAGTTTCTCCACTTCTCCAAGTTCTTCCTCCTTACCTTTCCTCTCCCCCAGATCTACTCTTCCTCTTGTTCCCTTCAGAAAAGACTAGAACCCCCAGGGACATCAACCAAACAAGGCATAACAAGTCACAATAAGACTAGGCACATACCCTCATATCAAGACTGGATAAGGCAAACCAGTAGGAATAGAAGGGTCCCCGAAGCAGACAAAAGAGTCACAGACAACTCTCACTTCCTTTATTAGGAATCCCAGGAGAACACTAAGCAGCACAGCCATAACATATATGCAGAGGACCTAGCTCAGACCCATACAGGGTCCCTGATTTTTCCTTCAGTTTCTATGACCCCCATGAGCCTTGATTAGTTGATTCTATGGGACTTATTATTGGCGGGGGGGGTCTTTGTCACATTTGGCTCTGACAGTCCGTTCTTCCCCTCTTCTATGGAGTTTCCCAAGATCTCCATAATGCTTGGCTGTGTATCTCTTGCATCTGCTCCCTTCAGTTACTGGTTGATGCCTATCTGATGATGATTTTGCTAGTCTCTGGTCTCCATATCATTAAGAATCATTTCATTAACTTTAAAAAGTCAATGAAAATTGCTAGTCAAATGTAATTTTATCTTAGATCTCTGGGCTATCCAATCTCTGGTTCCTGGTCATTCAGGCAGAATCAGGCATGAGCTCCCTCTTGTGATGTGTGCCTCAAGATGGATTAGTCATTGTCTGGCCACTCTCAAAAGCTCTTGTAGGGTTTGTTTGAATCATAAAATGTTTTGTTTTGTTTCTGTAAAATTTAACCATTTGAATCAGTAGTCTTGATGGGAAGTATTTATACCAGGTTATAAACTGGAGTCAACCTTGATTGAAGAATGAGAGTGGTTGGATACAGCCCAGAGAACGTTCCTGCTGGCTTTCTCCAGCCTTGATGGCTAAATTCCATTAATTCCTTTTAGAACTCCTTCTATCCTTTATCTCTTTCAAATTTTATGTTTTCTTTTCCCCTTAACTTCAGCTTCTTCCTCTGCACAGAAGAAACCATTAAGTCAGATGATATGCCTAATTGTGATGACAGACGTTGAAAGGTCAACTTGTCTGGACTGACTAACTAGATAGTGAGGAAAGCTTCTAGACATCGCCATAGCCCATTTTCAGAGAACATTGGCAAAGTTAGAACATTGGCATAGTCTGGTGGTTTAGGTAAACATACTTTTGACAACATAAAGATCTCTATGTTGATGTCTTTATTAATATCTTTTAGATTTGTTGGAAGGTAATGGACCCTTTAAGAGTTGGGACTTACTAAGATCTCTTTAAATTACTTGTGTGTACTCCTCATGAAATGATGGATCCCATCTCTTTCAACTTCCTCTTTCACACACAGCTCATGAGGTAAGTGGCTTTATTCCACTATATGTTTTGTTGTGAGAGATTCAAAAGACTCAAAACCATTCAATCTTGTACCTGAATATCTAAAATGAATGCAGACATGAGACTCTTTTCCATTTATAAATTACCACAAACATTTGTTACAGAAACCAAAGGCTTAGAAAGTCAGAAACTGAATGCCAAAGGCCTTTATCAATGAGGTTGCACAATTTCATAAACTAAGACTTGTGGCCATGGCCTTCGGGGAGAGGGGAGGTTAGCCTCAGGTATAGGCCACATCACTGGTCTCTTTCTATTTCTAAAGATTTAATCTATTAGAAGTCAACTGTTACTGATTTCCTGGCTCTCCAGCTTGTATTTGTCTATTCGAGAAATTACATTCTCTGTAATCAGGTAAGCCAATTTAATAAATCTTTTGTAGAAATTGCATTCTATTTACTGTGTTTTTCTGGAAGCTCTGGTATAGAGAAAATAGGTAGTGAGGAGTGAGGCTGTTATTATGCCTACCCCTAAAGGATTGAGGATTATATAATGGAGAAACTTTGGTAGAGTTTGGAGGTCTTCAGCTAGAAAATGCCAGAACCACTAAAAGTAGAATGTCATAGAATAACACAGACATGTTTAGGGATTTCATGAGATGACCCAAGTATAGTTACAAAGTTCCCAGACTGCAGTCAGGAACAAAAATCTTAATATTTCAATATTCAACAGCTGGAATAATTCCATAGCCCTTGAGAGGAAATACCTAGACCCATCAAGTGTTTCTCTCTAGTTTTCAGGTTTCTAGAGGGGAAACTGGGTTAAAGTTATGCTTCAGGCGTAATTCTGCCCTTGCTGGTAATAATTGCCTCAAATACTACTAGTTTGATGGTGAATTTTTGATAACTTCTTTTTTGTATCAAAGTATCTATAGAGAAAAAAATATTCTCTAACCTAACTTCTAAAGAGTCTTTAAGCTATGAAATTAATTTACCATAAATTATCATTTGTGTATAAATATTCTAAGTTACAATTATTTACTCAAGAGTTATAGTGAAGAAGTAAAAGTAACATAAAATGAGAACTTAAGTCAATGACAAAGCATTTAAAAATCAAAGGAAATGCAAAACTTCTAAGGACTTGATGTATAGAAAATGTGTCAAGTGTGACATGTGGACAAGGAAATCACTAGGTTTGCAAATAGACTGACAGACCATGGAGAAAATAATGCCAATTATTTCCTAAATTGCATTTTCCTTGAAAACAGGTGATAAACAGAGGGGGCTTGAGGCTCAGACTCAGGACACAAAGGACAGGGTGGAGGTGAATGAGCCAATTTAACAAAAGAAAGGAAAAGGATTAGTCATTCCAAACTAAAGGAAAGAGATAGCAAAGACAGATTCTAACTATCAGAATTCTGTATCATCATATGAAGCTTTCTTAACATGTATAATTGTTATATGTCAACTTAATATAAATTTAAATTTATAGTGACTTAGAGTCTTTATGAAATATTAAACTCTGTCTTCTTTTCTTTCCTATTTGTGACATATGTTTTTAATGATGTATTCCTTAGGAGAGAAATTTACAGTGTATTTTTTATTAGAATTTTACGATGAATGAAATATATATAAAAGATGTGATTTCAAAAAAAACTCATAACAAAAGATCAATAACATCAACCTCTTGATCCTAAGACCTAAAGACAGCAAACAGAGAAGTTTTGTGGGATTAAGAAAGAAATCTTAATCTAAAGTATAAAGTGACTCCAAAATATAATGTTCTGAAAAATTGAGTTTTATTCCAACAGCTAGGAATTGATAACCCCTAACCTACATTTCCCTTGTTTATATACATGTGAAATGTATCATTTTCCTTTATAAGTATTTAGGATTCCAGTGTTATGTCAGTAGAGTGAGTCTTCCAGGTGAATGTTAAACTACGGGAAATTAAGATTTGTGTCAGAATGATTCATTTTGCCACTCTCAGCAGTTACCCAGTTTGAGGGCATTGTGAGCCCAAGAAGAGAAAGAGACGGATGTGAAAGAGGCTGACTGCTGAACGACACCCTTGTCCTTCAATTCTGCTGTTCCCTAATTTATGATAAAACAGGCCTCAATCCATGAAAATTGTTTTGACGGATTCTTTTTTAAGCTTAGCTTTTCCCGTTTTCCTTTTAACACGCGTCCATTATCATTCTTTCCAGTGGTTGCTTTCTGAGCTTGAATTTAAACAAACCAATTTGCACAAAGGGAAAATGAGTGACTGAGAGATTTTATTTTACACAATGAACAATTGTAAGACAAATAACAACAACATTTCTCATGTCAGCTTCTTGTAATATTTCATGGAAAATGAGACAGGGAATTTAATAATAGGAAGAGAACATTTAGTATGTGGAGGCCATATTCCTGCAGACAGATGGCTACTATGCAGGTGAAGCAATTCTAAGAAATATTCATTGAGAGGGACAAAGGGCCCTTTCACCAAGTTCATAGTATTGCTGTCTTCCTACAACAGATAACATACACTTTCATCACAGTAACTTTACTGTAACACTTCTATAAAAACATATGACTGGCTGATCATTTATAGTTTAGTACTTTAACAACACAAACTACAGTTCTTAGTATCAATAATTTCTCTAATACTCGGCTATAGAGGACTCAAGAAAAAAATACCAAGACTCTTCCACTTAAGAGAAGACAAGGACTTTTTTTTCCTACAAACTATTCCAGTCTCTTCATTATTTACAGATCTGTGAAATGCAAACAACCAGGGTTATCAGGCAAAAGCAGATCCCCTAAGCCTTTTATCATCCCAGTTACAAGTTTGCATATTTTCTTTATAACCAGACAGCATACAAAATGAAGCTACTCTTTACAGGAAAATGAGGCAGTTGGAATGTTAATTTTATTTGGTAATATATTGTGAAATCTATAAAGCATTATCCAGCTGATTGACAAAATCTACCCAGCTGTTAAAGGCAAAATAAAACTATCTCAAGACATACAGTTATAGAAGTCTAATTTCTGCCTGCAGGTAGATAATGTGTGTGTGTGTGTGTGTGTGTGTGTGTGAGAGAGAGAGAGAGAGAGAGAGAGAGAGAGAGAGAGAGAGAGAGAGATGGAGAGAGAGAGAGATGGAGATATGAACAATTGTCTGGTTGATAAAACCCACAAAGAGAGACAGGAAGGATGCAGAAGCAAAGCCTCATATCATGTTTTCTCTCTTCTTCTTCAGTGAGGCTTTTATCTTCTTCCACAGGCTGTCCTTCCTCTTTAGTTTCCTTTCCACCAAGGACAACATGGACTCCTTCCTGCGAATTTCTCTCACTAAGCCTTGAAAAGCATCATCAATACCAAATCTAAGGGCTGCAGAGGTCTCAAAGAAAGCACAGTTGTAGTCTCGAGCAAGATTCATGCCTTCTTCTGTAGATACCTGTAAAGGGGGGGGGGAGTAAACAAATAATATTAAAAAGGGGAAAGGCTTTATGAACAAGAGTAAAATGTAAAATTTATTTTGCAAAAGTTCTAGAATTTCTGGACTTGAAGGACAAATGAGCAATCTGAATCCCACAAGGAAAATAATTATAACTCAAATTCAGTTCCTCAGAAATTAAGATCTTCATGGTAGCTCAGTGGTCAACAGAACAGCTATAGATGTAGTCTACATTAAGTCCTCAACTTAACTGATTTTGTTTTTTTTTTTTTTGTTTTGGGGCATTTTGTTGTTATTTGTTTGTTTGTTTTGGTTTTGCACACACAGATAATTGTATTACTATTTTGTGTCAGCTTCCTCTTCTGTTTCATAAAAGAACATCACTGGCATCACAGATGGTGAAGAGTCCAGCAATCAAAATTCATTATTTGGTTTTGCTGACCAGCATGTCCAATAAGGATTTACCAGGTTTGTTATGGGTCTTCCTATTATCTATAAAACAAGTATGCTGGGAACATTTCAAGCTCTGAAGTATTATTGGTTATAAAATTCACAGCTCTCTTATAACAATGTATAATAAACATTTCACAAACAACATTATGATGAAGGAATCTAGAAGCAAAACACTGTCACTGTGGTAATCGACCATTTCTCCAGCTTGAAGCTTTACACATCGTCCACGGGTTTAACATGCTATGCTTTGTACTATTGCACTAGATGTTCTAGAAACTATAAACTGACTGAAGTTGGCCACTTTGCCTCTTTATCATCCTTTGAGTATTGATCACAGCTCCTGGAGACAAAAGAGTGAGCCACAGAATTATTCAAGGCTTTAAAGGTATTAAAGGACATGTGAACATAAATTATGTAGACATGTTTGAAAACTAGACGGTTGTACTATAGATGGTTCTAGAATTCCTGCTCAACATTTTTCTCTCCAATAAGCCTTTCAGATTACAATCTGTGGTCCTGAGCAACACACCTGGGATTTCTGTGAGTTCCTCCAAGACAACCTATGTTGGACATGTGGTATAACAACAACAAAACAAACAAAAATTGCTATATAAAATTCCGGCTACACTCTGTTTCTCATGCTTTGCCACTCTCATAGAGAATACCAGATCCCAATGGTCCAAAAAAAAAAAACTTGGAGAAAATAAAAGACAACAAATCTGTTGTATGATCAGCTCATATTAAGGCATGGCAAGATGGATAGGAAAATGTTGAAAAACTCCTTATAATAAATTCATAAAAATTAAAATAATAGACTGACATAATCAATACAGTAAGACTCCAATAAAAAACAGATTGCCTAATTTCTTTTTTGTTTGTTTGTTTTTTTAAATTTTGTTTCTAAAGTTGGGAAATTACCTTATTAAGCCTTAAGAAGCACTGCATATAATTAAACTATAGTACAGGTTTATATACTACCTAATCATAGCTCACTTCCAAAATAAAGTTATAAGAGAAACCACAAAGTTTCCTAACAGTTGATTTTAATATGTTGCAATAATTTTCTAAAACTAGTGTGAAGAAACAATATTTGGAAGTACTCATGAAAGCTCTATCATCAAGTGTATTAGTGTGCACATGTTCATGTGAGTATGTGTGTGTGAGTGTGTGTGTCAGTGAGCATGTGTGTGTGTGTGTGTGTGTGTGTGTATGCACTCAGGCATGTGTCTAGAACCAAAGATTATATGAAAAGAAAACATAGGTTTTATTCTTAAACAGTAGAAATAGAGTATTGGATCCTGAGACTTGGCTTTATAACTGTTTGTAAAAGCATGAGATTTGGAAAGAAAGACATTATTTGTTGAAAACTGTGGCATTATAGCGTGTGTGTGTCCTGTTGGGTTGAATTGTGGGTCCCACCTCTGTCTCATTGCATAGCTAAGGTCTCTCTTGGAAACAGAAGTGTGGGAATTTGACTGTATTCACTCCACACTGGTGGGGGTGTACATCATTTGTCATGAGTTTGTAAAGAGAGATGTACCCCAAAAATTCTGGTGGTGTTGGGCAGCTTCTTGCTGCTTCTACAGGCTCAGGTCAATTGACAGAGCCTCTCAGTTTCTTCTGGATGAAATTATCATTGCTAATTTGTGAATGGTATTTGCAAGAGGACCACGGTACTGCTGCTGATTGGTGTGAAGCGAACTGCTGATATCCTGATGACATAGATTGAATTCACCCCCAAAGAACTATTTCAAACAGATCAACATTCTCCTTTGCCCTATTAAACTTTGCTTTCTACTACCTCTGGTGGGTGGTGGGCTAGATGAGTGGCATTTAAATACACTTATCAAAGTAATTTTAGGAAAATATAATCCTAAGAGTCATAAGCATTCTAATCCCAATTTTCTCACTATGTGCTCACAGCTGCTTCTTGCTATGTGGTATGATTCTATTACACTAAAATTGAGCAAAAATACATCTTGTCCCTTGGAGTAAGTATCTCTGCAGTAATTTCATGTTTCTTGCCTCCATAGAAAGATTTACTGTAGAAGATGATTTGTCCACTGTAACCTGTTTAGGAGCAATTAATATTGCATTATCCTCTAATTCCACTTAGGGTACTATCAGAGAGATGTTCCATAGCTATTAGGGAATTTAAGAATTTTACATTCATCAGAGTCTGGATCTGAGACACAGGGCTGATTTATTCTAGATCTGAGCATTTAATTGTATCTTTTTGTTAAAACTCTGATCATAAACGGCTGGAATCATGGATGATGGGAAATTTATTCAGTCACAATTGTCACACCGCTCTTAGGAACCCAGGGAAATGTATCTTTTGGAGCTGTCTCTGTTCTCTTTAATACTATTATCATCTTCTAAACACTTGGAAAGATCTTGCCCAAAATAGGATTGAATGCCTTTGGGTCACCAACCCTTTACCTTCTTAGCATTTTCTCTTCCCGTCATTTTGCAACCTGAACCATTAACTCCCTAGAATTTTCCTGGTCATTAATACTCAAGAATAGACCTGGAAGTTCAAAAAGTCTGCATAAATTTCTAAAAGAAATTTTTCTTTAACAAATACGTATGGAAGAAGTACCTTCCTATTGTCCATTCAGAGCCCAGTTTGTGCATGACAATGTCCTTGTGTTCCTCCATTGGCCCTATTTACCCATTTTATTTCTGAGGTCATGTGAATCAAAAACGAAAACTATCATTTATCCTTTTAGATATGAAAAATTCAGTTATTTTGTGTTGTCTGGGTGCTATAGGCTATTTCCTGAGCTGTTGAGTGTGGGGATGAAGGCAGATCCAGAAGAATCTGTTAAGAACTTTAAAGATGAGCCACTCTGGCAGAATTCATCAACATCATTAGACCTTATCTTTCCTGCTAGAGTGAGAGAACTCTGGGATTATATTTGAAGACAAGTTGACATCTCAGAGAGGTGTTAGACTGCTGCCAGGTAGTGAGTTCCCACTGCCTGTCCTATTTGGTGTTGGAGTTTAGTTATGTCCCAAGTTAGCTAACATAGGTCCAACACGTAGGGAAGATGGATGCTACTTTGACTTATATGACTGAGCAGATTCTGACGGGAAGTGAGTCCAGGATGAAAGGCTTTGGTATGCCACAGATTCCCAAGGGCTAAGTTGGTACGTTGCATCTTTAGGACTGAGAGCAATTCTGATTCCACCCACATGCTACTTCATGTTGCTCTGGCCTTCAGCAACATAAGCATCACAGTGCTGAATTTAATTGATTCTACGATGCTATTTGTTGTGTAATTAAGAGGTTCTGTTTTCCTCTTCTGTTCATCATCTTTCCATATTAGAACTTGATATTAAAAAAAAGTCTATGAAAATCTGTAGATGATATTTAGACAGCTATACTGAAATTAACAAGGGAAGTTAAGACTGAATTTGAAAAGAGAGCAAAGAAAGGTTTGGAGGGAAGAAATGAAAGGGGAAAATGATGCAATTATACTTTCAAAAATTTAAACCATTATTTAAAACGTTATAAAATATTTAAAAAAAAGATTAGTAGGCAAGAATTAACTTCATATGTTTCTTATCAAAAGCTTGGACACTAAGAACAGACCTGATTCCAAAACTCTTTAAGCTGTCTATAGGAGAGCACCTCTCCCCACCCACAATTCACAGGAGAGCATCTCTCTCCACTCCCAACACTCCTCTGCAGGCATATACTCCAGCCTGGAGTACAGTACCCAGAGTATTTCCTCCACTCTGCTTTCCTGCTTTCCTTCTCTCTCTCTCTCTCTCTCTCTCTCTCTCTCTCTCTCTCTCTCTCT